GGATACGGTCACAGGTAGTTAATAAAGTAACGAAATAAGGAAATGACGAGGATATTTGAGGATATTTAATGATATTGGAACTTTATTATACGCATATATATGCGTCTTAAATATGGCAATTATTTGAGCGTAACAAAGGTACATTTTATGGTATAAATACGAGGGTGAGTTAAAAGGTTCTCAAAACAAATGCTATAACCTTAAATAGAACAAAGATTTGCAAGTTTTTACAAGTCCACACATGTCTTTAGAGCTTGCTTAATAGCAAATAACTGTCCGATCATTCTGTGTGAGGTCAGGATCAAGACAGATTGCATCTCAAAATAGCAAGAAATTTTCAACGCTATATAAATGGCAAATTTAGAGATCAGAGCTAAAATGACATTTTTAATAAAACTAAATTGGAAAACTCTTCAGGCCATAGAAACTCTTAAACAGGTTCATATGGATTCTGCTCCATGCTGAGCGGTCATTTTCGATTGAAATTAACACTATAGGGGGTGATGAGGGCAACTTGTTAACGACCCACAAGGAGAGAGGCCCTCCACATCAAGAAATCAAGAAAGGATCTCTCTTGTCCAGAATCTAATGCAGGCACAAGATCGACGAGTTGTTATTAAGGAAAATGTAAAATGAAGGAATTGCCCATGGATGCGTATTTTCAATTCTCACAGAAAAGTTTGATTTGAGCAAGCTCTCGGTGGGCACGATGGGTCCCAAAAGCGTTGTAGGAAAAACTACTGATCCAAATAGCTGAACTTTCTTTATCAAATTTAGCAAAAATGCAAGCAAATAAGAATTTTTTAATCATTGCTTTATCGTGTATGATGCCTGTATCTACCAGTTTTATCCAGAAAACAAGATTTAATCAACGGGGTGACATCCAAAGGGAACATCTGTACTTGTCAATTTCAAAGCTGAAATGTGTGTTAAGAAGGTCATGTCCACTATATTTTGGGATTTAAAAGGAGTGAAGCGATAAATGGGCATTTTAGAGGGACAGAAAACACACAGGCACAAATGTAGAGAAAAGGTGAGATGAGTACTGTGAAAGTTGTGGAATATGGCATACAATGGGGTCATGGTTGTTTGAAGTGAGAAGTCAACTGTCGGCATATAGACTTTTTTGCTGTATGAATATGCGTTGCCCAAGGTGTACCATGTAGAGTTGAGTCTATTGCACACCCCTCAAATAAGAAGTAAAAAGTGCAATTTCCTTACCATTTTTTCCATTTTCATTTTTCGAATGCTACTTCAATCGACTCCAAACCTCCAATAACTAATATTCTAGACTTGGTATTCGCCAAAGTCTTCCCGTAAACGACCAGAAACTCAAACTGTAAGACTATACACCCAAAAATTTCGTCATTTGCTTCCATTTTTTCTTACTAACCCAGTTGTCGAAGCAAATAGACAGACATTTTTTAGCGCAACCGCACCCAAGAAAAAAAACATTGAAAGTACTGCCTTTTGTGAAAATAGATACTCTTTGCTTTCCAACAGTCAACACCACCACCGCGAAAATAAACAATTGTGAAAAGATAATTGTGGGTAGATGAAAGATGCGATCAAAGATGAGTGTGACAAGCAAATTGCTCAGAGGAAAAAAAAGATACAAGAAAAAAATTTTTTGCTAAGATGGGGAAAGAATGCACAATGCCTTGTCACTGGGAGGAAAATCACATTTCGGGATTGAGGCGCCATTTTAACGGTGTTTCACGGGTGGCCAACGCGAACAGCACGACTCACATTTGGCGCCAAGCAAATTTTCCCAACAAAGTGGTGGTGGGGNGGGGTGGGGTGGAGTGGAGTGGTTGTGATAATTAGTAGCTTCTCGCTAACCGTGTGGCTTATACTCTCTACTTATCGTAGGTCGTTGCCTCTGCATGCTCTTAGCTGTAAAAAGGTGGCACGTGGAACAAAAGGATTCAATCACCCGCCTTACAAGCCCTTAATACCGTAAATATTTTCATGAGTCAAGGAATCGAATTGCTTCCATATTCCAACTTCAAAGCTCCTAATGCCATAATTTCATTTTTTCAACTAGGGAGGGAGGGGGGGTTGTTCGGTTCTTGTTCCCCTAATCTGGCGCTCATTTATTATTGAAATTGGATAATATTTATTTATTTATTTATACCAAATGGCAGGCGTTTTGATAGTTATCATTAGACCTTTAGTTGACTTCGGACTTCACAGAGAGGAGGAGGAACATCAAAGTGAAAAAGTCGAGATGGGGGAGGGGTGGAACAGAAGAGTGTTTCAAAGATATAAAAGAGGCAGACAGACACAAATGTAGAAAAAAAGGTGAGGTGAGTACTGCGGAAATAGTCGAATATGGCATAGAGTGAGGTGATGGTAGTTTGAAGTGAGAGTCAACTGCCAGTTAATAGACTTTTTTGCCGTATGAGTATACGTTGCCCAGGCTGCATCACGTGGAGGTAAGTCTATCGCACACCCCATTGGATAATATTTGTTTGCACAACCATGACCATTACTACTTATTTTAACTAAATATCCTCGTGCGTTTACACTTCATAAGCAAGCGGACTATGACCTAATTCCCCCAAGTATGCGTCCCTCTTGGTCACTGATTAAGCCCTCAGATAAGCCACACCGAACACATGCCCAGTTGGCTAACAAGCCGTAGCTGTCGCTTAATGTGACAACTTTAGCGGAAAATTTAGAGAAGCGTGCAAGAAAGAGGCACTCTCTGTGTCGGCTAGGAATTTTAAAGGAATCGCTGATAGTCCTATTTCTGGGAGATACAAGAAGGTAGGCTTAATTCGATACTAGAGCATTTTAACATATCGTTTTTAGGGTATTAGATAAGTACTCAGATATTTATTTATATCAAATGGCAGGCGTCTTGATGGTTATCATTAGCCCTTTAGTTGACTTCAGGCATCACAGAGAGGAGGAGGAACATCAAAGCGATGAAAAGTCGAGAGGGGGGGACAAAAGTGTTCCGAAGACAAAGGTAGAAAAGGTAGAAAAAATGCGAGGTGAGTACTGTTGAAGTAGTTTGAAAAGAGGAGTCAACTGCCTGCTTATAGGCTTTTTGCCGTATAAGTATATGTTGCCCAGGATGCACCACATGGAGGTAAGTCTATCGCACACCCCAGTACTCAGATATAAACTATAAGGAATACCGAAGCTTTATTTTGTTTCACTGGGGAGTGCGATAGACTTACCTCCACGTGGTGCACCCTGGGCAACGTATACTCATACGGCAAAAAAGTCTATTAACCGGCAATTGACTTCTGGCTTCTAACTACCACGACTCCCTCCCCTGGTTGTCATATTCGACACCTTCCACAGTATTCCCCTTACCTTTTTCTCTACCTTTGTGTCCGTCTATCTCTTTTACAACTGTGAATCGTTCTTCTATTCTCCCCCCTGTGAAGCCCGAAGCCAGCTAAATGGCTAATGATATCTTTCGAAACGCCTGCCATTTGAAATAAATAAATAAATTTTGTTTCACTAAATTGCGAACTTCTTTCAATTAGACTAAATTGTTGAGGTATTTTATGGGGCCAGTCAATTAGGATGCATCTCCGAATCCTTCCCGTTATTACACTTTCTACAAACTGGACGATGTAGAAGAATAATAGCAACCACGAAATTTTAGTTGACTACGAGAATAAATATTTAACAAGGTAGGGGTGTGCGATAGACTTACCTCCATATGGTGCAACCTGGGCAACATATACTTATACGGCAAAAAAGTCTATTAACTGGCAGTTGACTTCTCACTTCAAACTATCATCACCTCACTCTATGCCATATTCGACTATTCACAGTACTCACCTCACCTTTTCTCTGCCTTTGTGTCTGCCTGTCCATCTCTTTTACATCTGTAAATCATTATTCTGTGCCCTCTCGACTTTTTTTACTTTGATGTTCCTCCTCCTCTCTGTGAAGCCCGAAGTCAGCTAAAGGCTAATGATAACTGTCATAACTGCCATTTGAACTAAATGAATTTAATAAGATAAGCAACATTTGAAATAGCTAGACGGTTGGATGTGAATACTGGACAAAAATTTGTATAGAACTAATGTCAATTACATTGGCAATAGATTCTACGATTGGTGAAAGTTCACTTACTCAAAACTATGTTGAGTTGCAATTAGATATCAAGCTACAGTAAACCCTATCATCTTAAACGCGATCAATATTCTGAAGTAGCAAACAACAGTAAATATTCGCTTAAATATTTTATCTCATCAGCAAATTTCTAGATTCATTTAGTGAATGAAAGTTTTCCTTAACAATTGAATTTGAGAGAGGTTACTAACTGCTATGTTACTAACTGCCCTACAATGTGACGAAATCTATCACAACTGACTCGAAGTGTGGTACAAATCAAAATATCATCTTCATCTTCTTTCAATTAAGTTCTACTTAATGAGTTTGATTATATGATAACCCAACAGATAAAAGAGAGGTTTCCTCATACTAGTTCCCAGGTTAGAAACTAGTCTACCTTATATCCTTACAATTACAAAATGTTCCAAAATGATATTTGTTATCGAAATTCTTTTCGTTTGCTTTTTATTCCTTTAAATTCCAAAAAGATGAAAATGCATTAAGTACTTTTTAGATTTGCAGGAGAAGATATATAACTTTTAACAAATAATTTTGTTATTTCTATAATGTTTTATTCATTAATAATCGATGAATTAGAATTTATGCAACCAAGGTATAATGGCCATTACGGCATACAAACAGTTGTCTGCATTTTGATTGGCGCACAGGATTTGATACGCGCGCCAACACTCCAACGCAGTGTTCGCGCCCTTCCACTTTCTCGCCTTAACACCCGCTCAGAGATTCACACCAATCCCACCACTCGCATCACACATGAAGGGCGCTACTTCTAGCGCCCACAACCAATAGGGTGTGTGTTGGAGTTGTGCGTGCGTATATGCCTGAGTGCGTCCATGCAAATGAACTTACCCGTCCGGGTGTGAAGGCATTTCACAAGTTCTCTCAACACCATCATGGATAACACTTCCACGGCTGCTCTTGACATGTCCTTCAAGTCCTCTTTGAATTCCCTCAGCACCATAGAGGTGGCTTACCAAGCTGCAATGGCTATGTATCCACCCATGGGTCCCTCTGACGTTATCTCCAAGACTTCAACGCCTGCCCTTCCAATGGCTGCCGGTTTCCCTAGTCCTATTAGTCCCCCGGTGAACCACCATCAGTCTTCTCTATTGAGAAAAGAGAATCCATGCGTTGAACTTGTCGATCGTCATCTTTGGAGAAGCTTTCATGCCTACGAGACAGAAATGGTCATCACAAAGAGTGGACGGTGAGTAGTAATTTGGTGAAGAAATAAAATTAATATTCATTCTTAATAAATATGGGCATATTTGAAATCTTATAATTTAACTCTTGTCATCCATTTTTAATTTGTCAACTTTGGTGTTACATTAATATTTTTTAGTTTTATATAAGTGCCTATTTGGTGCTAAATTTGAAAGTTATCAAACGGGTTTGTATTTTTGTCCTTTGAAGCCAACAATCAGAAGTTGGTGATATCAAGTTGAGCTATAGCTTAAGTGATAGGGGTCGCTCCCGAATATGGTCTTTGAAATTATACCTTCTATTTCCTGACTGAATTAAAATTAAAAATGAAATGACAATACATTTCAAACTCATCGTTCGTTCTTGAAAAACAACACCTATCCCCCTTGTATTCAAGACTACGCTCTTATTAGATTAGAAAGTCTTGAATATATCAACGAATGAGAGCAGAAGCACCAGTTATCACTTTAGTTATGTAGGAATGTTAGGTATTAGGTCAGATTTCTCAAACGTTCCCACTCAGAAATCTTCCGCTTTTTTATACCACGTTTGGAAGGTTTGCCGAGGAATATGACGTTATTTTTCTCTTATTCATTCATGAATACTTTATCCAGCTTGATTTGCTTTATAGTAATATTACATTTCATCACCAAATTTAGTTTGAATTAGGATTAGGGGCATAAATTATGCTCCACCACATTCAGTTTACCTTCATCGTATGACAGTATCAACGCATGTATTTTAAGAATTTAGATGTTTTCATCTAAATCTGAATTATAGGATTGTAAAATTTGTAGTTGATCAATATAAAATTACTTAAATACTAATAAGTAGGAATACGTCATGTTATATCAGATCGAAAGACAACTAACGTTTTCCATTAATAGTTTTCATTAAATTATTTCTAGAAGATAAGTTTAAACCAATTGAGGGGGTGGGGTGGGGGTGGAGAGGTGGTATCCACAAATGATTTCATGACAACGGATTTCGAACTGTGATCAACTCGAACTCGTTACGGTATTAGTGCATCACCTCGGAACGCTACTTTTTAGACCAATCAGAGCAAAGTCATCGAGGTAAAAAGAAGTATCCTCATATCCCTCCCCCCTCCCCCCTTCCCCCTCTATCCTCAAATGCTGCAATATTCTCATGGTGTCAGAATAGGGTCAAAGGCGGTGCCCGCTTCACCATTTAGTTTATTACCCGCATTGTATCGGCAATCGCGTTAATAGGCTAAATGGTAAGCAGATGTTTGGTCCAAAAAGTCAAAAAAAGCAGAACCTTGGACTCTGCACATGTTCCTGGGCTAATTATAAATCACCCTTATCAACTCCGAATTTCTGCCTCAATGTGAAATTTGTCTCCAATAAGCTAAAAAGGAACTTTTGTCTATGATAACCAAGTCAGTAAAAACAATATTTTTTGTAATTGTTATATGAATTAATATAATTTCAAAGCTATTCTGCACCAGGGTCGCATATATATCATCAATTGACAATTTCTCTTAATAGAATTTAACGATTTGAATATTCTAATACTACTAATAATAATAATTAATGTTGAAGTGCAAGTGTTAAGCGAAATGGCTTAAAATATTCATAAGTTTTAAATTATTTTCTGCTAATTTCCTCACCTAAAATTTCCACCAAGGCCTTATCCCTACTATAATCAATTAACAATTTTGCCATTTGAGACGCGTGGTAAGTGTCGCTCACAAAAAGTAAAGCTTCCCTCATCAGTATCAACTTCTCACCATCTTTCCTTGACTAATTTCGCATTTTTCCAGCTGGAGTGGGGTAAAATACACGTTCTGTGACCAATTAGTTTCCAGTTATAGTTCAACTTTGGGCTAAATGCCTGTCCCTATGGCGTCGATCCCACAAGCTGATTAATACTTTACCCCCCCCCNCCCCCCCCCCCCCTCCCCCGCAGTTGTATTGATATCTCCTGAAACCATCCACCTGCAGTGTAGACCTCTCGCCTCCCCCCCCCTTTCTCCCCCAACCCCCACCCCCGGGCTTCCACTTTCTAAACTAGTCTTAATTGAAGTCACCGAGGCATGATTAATCTGATTTGAAAGGACTAATTAGACGCTTGACCACTTGCCACATGTCAACACAAGGTCTTATCACAACACCACAATCTTGTGGCTTGGGCCCGATCGCTTAAAAATTTGAGTTAAATTAGCCGCAACTGAAGAGTATTGAGGTGGAAATATCCACCGCATTTGACCAAATCATCACATTGATTCAATAGCTATTATTCCGGGGAAGTTATAATTTAGCAGATGGTCATAGATTATGAGCACATGATATTTAAGTGACAAACATGTTAATCTCTCACATGGTTAATTGGAAATAAAGATGTTAGCCATTTCCATAGGAAATTCTGAAAATAGGGAGTTCCATAAATGATGGAAGCATTGAGATTAGAGATATTAGGGATTCTTGAGGCTTGTAAAATCAAGAAATAAAATCTGATTAGATTTATTAAAATAAATAAACAAACAAGGGGAGTAATGTTTGAGAAAGTAAAGAACTTGTCAGGTAAGGAGCGGTTTCATTGGAATGCGATATATTTGTTGATGCATTAAAGGTCATATTAATTGAATTGTCATCGAATTGAATTTTTCAAGGGCGTAACGCATACGAGACAGTAATAAAATTATTTAGTATTATTTAAGGCAGGTTGTTGGCGAAGTCAAATAGAACGTTTTAGTTAGCCTCGATCACACCCAAAATAAGTGAAATGAGCAACTATACTGGTGAAATTTGCCCCGATGAACGGGTTGCCGACTTCAATTTCCCCCAACTGAAGACTCCATGATGGTCCCCTTCTACCTAAGTGGGCTCGGAGAATGGGGGTTGGGGGTTCCAAATCAGAAGGCATTCAAGTGTCCAATAAATAATCCAACATCGCAGTACCATGATTTTCATAATTAATTTTTAATTTCAGGCGAATGTTTCCAGCATTCAAAGTGAAGGTTTCAGGCCTGGAGAAGCAGACCAAATACGTAATGATGCTCGAGATTGTGGCAGCCGACGATTGTCGCTACAAATTTCACAATAATCAATGGATGGTGGCTGGCAAAGCCGATCCTGAAATGCCCAAACGCATGTATATTCACCCCGACAGTCCAGCTACTGGTGAACAGTGGATGCAGAAAATCATTTCCTTCCACAAACTCAAGCTTACAAACAATATCTCCGATAAGCATGGCTTTGTAAGTCTCACAACATTACTGAATTTATTAATACTTATTACCAATGGGTTTTTTGGGTAAACGGAATTCAGATAGAGGCGTTCCAGATAGTTCCTTATCTTCTGCTTAACATTTTGAAAATGGGATTTATTTTGACTGTGTATCGATTTTTAAACTAAATGTGAAGTAAAAAGTCCTTTAGTATGTCTAAAGACAATTTTTTCACGTACCTTTTTAAAGGAATGCAAAAAATGTTAAAGGGTATTGGATAAAAGGACTCAGGTAATACTGACACCCCAAAATGTACACTCCTGTCTTCTAATTACACCTTGGGGAAGGCCAGGAGATGGTATACGCTTGTTTTGGCTTTTCTCCACAACCCTCCCCCCGCCACCTCCATCTTTTTTTCTTCTGTTCAGACCCAAAGACAAATGACAAGGCCCATGGCGTGGCGTAGAATGGCACATTTTGGCGTGAAACGCAAATTAGAGGGTGTGCAAAGGGGAGGGCGAGGGGAAGGAGAAGGTAGGGACTTTGCTAGGTGCTTCATGGCGCCTTTCATAGACGTCTTTCTCTCCACTACGCATTTATTCATTCACGGATAATTGAGGCATATTTGTGAAATTACCTACCAGTGCTTTCTACTTCGAATGACAAAGCTCTAAATTCAGGTTGAGATTACCGCATCTACCACTTTGGTTTTAAGGATACATAATCTTTTAGTAAATCACAAATTCAGGACGTTGGAAGTCGACTGAAATTGAAATTTATACGAATACTGAGATTTTGAGATTCTCATTTTTTAAGCTGATCTTGAGAGCTAAAAAATTCAAATTAGCGTATTAAGCTCATAAGACAATTTGTCATTAGAGTACTTATTAGAAAGAAGTGAATATGTGGACTTCATTTATGAAAAGCGTGAAGTTCTCTTGAATAAAATAGTGAATGGTGCCTATCGATCTATAATTCTAAAACCTGTCATTGAGACTATTCTTACAGAAGTAATGGTCTTCCTGAAGACTAACAAGACACAACAGCCCTTTCTAAATGAGAAGATGAAGAAGAAATGAGCTGGACTACAGGTCTAATTAACATGGGGGTAGGAATGAGTAAAACGAGACGAGCCTCCATTCTACGGAAAAGTTGGTCATGATGTGGGGGGGGGGAAAGATTGAGTTCTGGAAGTGATAACATTTTTATAGCCCCGAAGAGGTTCGATTTTACAAGTATACGATAGTTGATATTGACAAACATGGACGGTGGCAGAATTTGAGTCTCTCATTAGAGAGGCTCCGTGACGCTACTCTCTACCCGAGATGAGAGCTGGAAAAAGCACTCGTTGGTGTGGTTGGTAAGTGTAGCAATTTTATATATAATGTATATTGTACTCTTCAGAGATTGCGATTAATCGAACCCCCTAATCTTTATTCTTCTCATGACTCAGCTCAAATGGAAGAACAAAATTGTAGTTTAATTGGAAATCGAAGTGATTGCAATGTCTGACTCTGAAATTTTCTAAACTAGTCAAATTCGTCACGATAGTCACTCGAAGGTGGACTGGGGTTACGATTTCACGCCTCTGGAAGACACCTTTATTTTTTAAAACTTATTCATCGTAATTTCAATTGTCTACCATTTGGCTTCGACTTTTCAGACCATTCTCAACTCGATGCACAAATACAAACCCCGATTTCATTTGATCAAGGCGAAGGATGTCAATCGCTTCCCCTATTCTTCTTTTCGTACTTTCACATTTCCCGAGACAGTTTTCATTGCAGTAACGGCCTACCAAAACGAGAAGGTGCATAGCCACTCTATTGAAATTTCAATGCATTTTATTTACTTTCTCTTAACCCGCCAACCTCTGCTTTGTTGCTGTGCATAAATATGTTTCGAATATCAATTTTAATGAGTTACTCTACTTAGATATTAACATTAAAAATGTTGCGTATTTCTTTAGATAACACAACTTAAAATTGATCACAATCCATTTGCAAAAGGATTTCGAGATACCGGTGGTGGTAGGCGAGAGAAGAAGTGAGTTTTTTTACTGAATACTATTGTTACATCTAAATAATTAAAATTTATTTTTAGAGAATAAACTATTAAAAGTTATGGAAATTTAAATAAAGTGCTTGAAAGAAATACAGCCACCAGATCACTCCGATTTGGAAATTGTATAATTATTATAAAAGAAATAACATATATATATATATATATATATATATACCTTTTTAGAAGATTTATTTTTTTATTAATATCATATGAAGAGTGTAAATATAACTTATATTTATTTGCTTAGACGACAGATTGGAAAGAACCGTCGGCATAGTCCAACATGTGGTTTCTACCGGAGTGGAACGAATAGCATCAACACAGATAAGATGGGCAGCTGCTCTGATTCTGATGCAGACGACTTAGGAAGATTTCTTAAAACAGACCCCCGATCTCCAAACACAACCCCTCACACAACTCTCCAATATGGTGAGCTACTTTCCTTCTTTGCATATTTAGCTATATAAAATCCTTTTGCAAATTTAATGAAAGGCACTTTCTTTTGAAACCAAGGTAGGATTTAAAAAAGAGATTATTCTTCATGAACTAACGCAAAAATGCATAATTACATCATTGTTTTATGCAACTTTTCATGTGATGGTATGGACGATGTCTCAAGCTTTCTAAAGCATTTGTAGAGACAGTATTACTTCAAGAAATTTCAGTAAAGATCGTTGAAGCATGGATAAGATAACAAAATCCACTCAATGACTTTCTATTATTATGAAATTAGAAGAATATAACGATAAAATAACCGGATTTACTTAGTTTATCTTATTTAAGCGACTGTTCCAATGTTCGTATTCACTAAACAAAGTAGCGAGACACCCAAAAGCTAATTTATTCGTATCATTTGATTTGGCTAGAAGGATGATATTCTTGAACCCATTTTGTATGAAAACCACATTTTAGCGATTCTTATTTTGGACCGAAATATTCTAATATTGTGGGGGTTATTTACGTATACCAACTACCATGGATTTCTCGACCTCTGAATCAGGCGGAATTCAGGTTTGAGAATAAAGTTTTTAGATTATCTATTGGGGAGTGCTCAAAGGGTTGATATTGACAACTATCTATATACTGTCTATGGTAGAAGCAAGGGTTCAAGCCATTTGAATGAAATAAGTGCTTATAAATAAACCAGCTACTTATATATAATAAGTAACATTCATATTTATATTTAAAGATTATCGTGGGAATCTTCAACCAACAAAGCTCTTAACTCAAGAGCCCCATTTGTTAAAGAACCGTGCAAGACTGGAAGCTAATAGCTCTTCATTACCGAATGTGTCCTCTCAGTGGCCGTCTTCAGGCATTCCAGTTGACGATGTTAACGGCCTATTTAGAAGTATTTATCCTTGGCTTGACAAGTCCTGCAACAGAGCGTACATTCCGGTCCCACCACCTCACGTCATAATTTCCTCCCTTTCTGGTAATAAACCTTGGACAGATTTGAAGAAGGGGAATATGCAAACAGAGGATTCGCAATCTGGAGATGAAAAGCCCACTCTGCTAAAATCTGAAACCAACAAAAGTTTTTCAATCTCTGCTCTTACGAGTTAGGGGACAAAGCATGAATAACAGTATCCAAGTTAATGAGGACTCTGTGATTATCTCTTTTTTCTATTACTTTCCCTGTGCTGTCAAAAACTATTATTTAAATGGCAAAAGCTCTCGATTATATTCAGTTGTGTTCATGTTATATTCAGGGAAATTTTGTGAATGTATCATATTTCAATTTAGATTCATCAATCAATGGATCAGGTAATTACCCACATTGCTTGTCTAAATATTTTGTTATATAATTTAACTTCTTGCGGATAAGATACTAGGGAAAGTAAAAAATATACGATATATTTGATAGCCAAACGACAATAAGTATTAAATAACGATGGAAGTACGTGTTTAGTAAGAGGAAAGATGAATGCTTCAAATATTGTATATCTGGATATTTTATTATCGCTCAACCCATAACATTAAAAATTACCTAAATCTTCAAAGGTTTAAAGTAATGTAACTTAGGTTAACGATTTTTAATTCGAAATACACATAACTTTAGGCAGAAATCATGTTTGTTCCTTCGTTTCAGTCTTAGTTGTTATTAGTTCCAATACTATGAACACCATTTCAAAAACCCATTTGGTTATTAACTTGAATATGGATAAAATAAATGAATTTTCAGTCCATAAACAAAATGAACATAAACCGCACCAATCCCCTTATTATTTCGATTTATCTGTTTATCACGAACTTTACATTTAAAACATAGATCGATATTATTAATTCGATTAATAAACGTCGGAAAATGTGATATCGCGATTCGAACTAAAAAGCCTAAGAAAAATTACGAGGAAGATAGTAAACGAGGTCGATATTGGCATAGCACATTAAATGGCATATTTATTGAACAGGAACTTCAGCTTAATCCTAGACAATCGAAACAATCAGATAAAAAATTTTTATAACCAATTACTTTGTCGTGATATAATAGATTTTAGAGGATTTTATATGGTAAACCACAGATGCAACTCGCTTTATACAAAACGAAAAAAGGACAAACTCATTTTACGCAGCGTTAAACGAACCTCAGGCAGTCAGAACATATCAAACTACTTTAAGCAATACCATCAGAATATAAAGGTAAAGACCATATCATATATCATTTTTCTAACTTTATTGAAACTTGGATAAAGTCAGAATGTTTCACAGTGATTTCGAAAATGTTACCAAATAATGAAAGAATTCTTGCGCATTTTTACTTTTAATAATTCACTAACCGTTTTCGACGAATTAATCATAAACATTAACAATACAACTGATTAAATTAAAATCGATTCAACATGACAAAATTTAAACATGTATTTAAATTTAAAAGTGAACTTCCGTTTTTACTTGGTTTCCATTCACTGGGTTTTGTCTAGGTCATGTTGGTCCGTGCAAATCTATTATTTGTCCAAGGTCATCCCGGAGGATATGATTTCACCCACTAACATCGTTGAATATGTAAATGCCAAGGTAATAACAAATCGAGCATATTCTCGACTGCTTGAAGAATTAAGACCCGAATTTTTTAATTTTGATAAAACCGATAAGGAGATTGGCATTAGTTTCTCTCTACTCGCTAATGGAACTAACCCAAGAAGTAATTATTCTTACACAACTTATAAGTCTTCGCAGTTACGGCAATTTATGGAGATGGGGTTCATGAACCAGAAGTTTATGTCGATAGAGTTGATTGGGACAACTTTAATTCCATTGAATTTAGCGTAAGCTTTAATTTAATTAACTTAAATTATTTACAGCACTTGAACCTTCAATCGACGGATATACTCCTCGATACTATTAAGCACGAATTTAGAAAAGACATGCAACATTTCTTTAAAATATCAAAAGTTTCAGACAACTTTCTGAATTTTATTCTTTTTAAATCAAAAGATTCTAAAATTCAAAGAACTGGAGATTATGATGTATGTTAAAGTTCTATGTAGATATAATCTATTTTAGCTAGAAATAGATTTCCCCCAGGAGGGTTTTTTAGTGAGTTTGAAATATGCTTCTAAAAAGGCTTCGCTGATATCTATTTCGAAGACTGATGCAAACTCGTATGAGCCAATACAAGATTTACAACCACTAACTGAAAATATTGTCTTAACTGACCATTTTGATCCCATAAAAGCGGCTCAACAAATTATTTGCAAGTTCAACAATGCAATTGAACTATATAATTCTGTGATGCAAAGAATTCTTAACGATTATGTCAAAAATATGAAAAATATTCCTTTTGCACAATTTCAAGTGGAAGGTACTCCAGTCGATGGTATGTGTATTAAGTACTGCTCAGTTGATTATTTTGGGATATATTCTTATAATTACATAAATCTCTTTCTCGTTGTAGTGTTTTTGGATAATAAATATGAAAACATTTGTATATGTGCCCGGGAAAGATATGAAAAGGTTTCCTTGGAGAATATAGCTATTGACAACATTAATAATATCATTACTAAACTCGCTTCGAAGTCCCATTCTGATGTTGAATAACCTTTGGTACTTGCCTTCTATCGTATTTAATAAAATTATTTGCCAATAACTATGGTATCTTGTCTATTAATTACACTGGTATCTTAGCCAAAGAATTACAATGAAATCAGTTACCAGTGATATTAATGTCCGCATATATTGATTGAAACAAAAGTTTCATTTCGACTAAAATAAACAACAGCTAACGCTAATTTCGCTTAGAAGTGTAGCTTCCTAGGTTACCGCAGTTTGCTACACTCCTTTCTTAGTCAGTTCTTATCAATGTCGCTGATCATACAAACCAAGAGGCTTCGTTGACTGCTACGCCGTCGTTGGTTAACTGGTTTATCTAACATACTTGTTCTCACTAATTGCAGTATCTCTATTCATCGTTATTTGTTGAATAAGATTAATACCATGCTGTTTAGGTTCCAAGAAATGATGTTATCACATTCTACCAGTTATCACTCAGATTAAAAGGAGTTGAATTCTTCTCAAAGTGAATTGTGGGGTACTCCAACCTATTGTTAATAATGACGACAATCTTCAAACTCGTGAATATTCGGGAGAGAAGGCACACCATAAGATTGCACTGTCACAGGGCCTTGACTTCTGAAAAGAGTTCTCAAAGAGGGTGGTGTGCTTTACAGGTTGACACTTCTATCTACTCTAATGTTTGGGAAATTCTATCTAATTCTAATTGTCACATTATGCCAAAGAAGTGCCTAGAGTTGCACCAATCCTGCCAATAAAGTTGGTTTTGAAGCCTAAAAATAATATTACCGCACAATAGCCACCCCCAAAGTTTCCAGTTTAGAAAGACCGTGACTTCTCTCATGTAAGGTGCTATCATGAATTGATAGGGCTTTACTACTTTCAGTTTTTGGTAGTCTATTGCAAATACGAGATTATGTGTTTATCCTGTTCACATGTGAACAGAGATCCAGTGTAATGTCAGCAACATTCTAACATTGGGCGCTCTTGGAGTTGGTATTTAAGTGCATTTACTATGACCCCGAAGCCATCTCAGTTGTACAATTAGCAGTTTAGCACCGTAGATATCCAGTTTTTCAGTAGGTCATGCTAATTTCATGATTCAGCATATTTTATCACCTTTAGTGTAGGGGGAAGGGGTGGGGTGCTCTGACATTTTGTTAGAGATTAGCATATGTGTCGAAATCCGTTTGTCCAAGTTATTAGTCTCTGAAAGTAGCAAAACTTGCTAAATTCCGTAGAGCTCATAATACTACTAAGGCTGAATAAAGGTATCTCACTCGAGCAACCTCGAGGTTACGACCGTGTTACTGGTCGCGTGGGGAACAAGTGCGGTCGTGAGTGCAGAGTGACCAATTAGCAATCAATAGCCACTGCAGCCCAGCCCAGCCCATCGTGGCACTAAATTTATTTTAATGACTAACCTTTGTGGAAGTGACACACCATCAGTATAAACATTGTTCGCAGCATGTCCTTTGTCTCCTCAATATTCTTGCGATAGCCTATCTAATTTCGCAAAGAATTTTACTTTAGAGATTATCGAGGTTTAGCCGAGGTTCATTTAATCAGCAAGAGCGTTTTTAAAGGAAAAAAGATAAGTGTCAAAACGACCTGAGCGTTAACCTTAATCTGAGGTTTGATCGAGTGCAAATCAATGAGCTTTTTATCTTCATTTTATATACTATGTCATTTGCCAAAGTACTTTTTAGGAGGTGTCGATTAGTCAACATGTGCGCCAATCATAAAATACGTTAGGACTTCACTAAATGGGGCTAGGAAATCTTTTATTTTAAAATTAGGGATTTATTACTATAAAAAGGCTACTTATATCTCCACAATGAAATCAGAATTTAACCATTTATCCAATTTAACCAATCCCGTCTGAAAGAATCTCAATTCGCGCATTCAAGCTTCAGCACTAAGCACATACACTGCACACTTAAGCAATTGCGACGTCAGTGCGTTCAATCGATAGTCAGCATTGACATAAATAGATTAAAATCACGAATTTGTCAAAAGCTCCTTGAAATGGTGGTGTGATTGCAATTGAAATACGGAATTAACTGCTAATTAATAGGACCTGTGACAACTGTATACCTAACGTATTGGTGGCTCTAAATTGGGAGTATCACCTACAACTGATCTTCATAAAATTAGTCAATTCGGGGAAACTTATTCTGCTTAGTTCATGCCATATAGATATTCACTCCTAAAAACGGACACTTCATAAGGTGCCAAATTAACTATGCTGTCAAACAAAGGCGTACTCGAAAGACTTACCTCCACGTGGTTCTCCCTTGGCAACGTATACTCATACGGCAACAAAATCTATAAACCGACAGTTGACTTCCGACTTCAAACTAAAATGACACCACTGTATATCATATTCCACCACTTCCATACCACTTATATAAACTTTGCTCTGACTTTGGGTCTGTCTGCCTCTTTTACATCTATGAATCACCCTTCTGTTCCCCCTCCCATCGAATTTTTGTGACTTTGAGAGAGGAGCTTACTTTCCCCATAGATTTATGAACTCCAAGATCGATCGATCTGTTTACTCTCGATTTTTATTTACAGAATTATTTGAAAGACAAACTGTACTGTAGCATTCCCCATAAAATTGAAAAGCTTAAAATGAATATTAGTAATAAGAGGGGTGTGCGATAGACTTACCTTCACATGGTGCACCCTGGGCAACGTATACTCATACGGCAAAAAAGTCTATACACCGACAGTTGACTTCTGACTTCAAATTACCATGACCTCACTCTATATCATATTCCACCACTTTCACAGTACTCACCCTACCTATTCTGAGCCTTTATTTCTCTCTGTCTCTGTATGTGAATCACTCTTCTGTAACCCCTCTCGAAATTTTCTCACATTGAAGTTCCTCCCCTCTGTGAAGCCCGAAGTCAGCTAAAATGCTAACGATAACTATTAAGACGCCTGCCATTTTAAATAAATAAATACTTGTAATAAGACTGGTAAAAACTTCTCAAAATATCTTAAGGTGTGCTGATCTGTGTAGCTGAGTGTGTGAACTGCTAAATGTTTAGTACATTGTTTTATCGCAATATTCAGTATTTAACGCAGAAAAAACATAGACTTAACTTTACGCATTATCAAGGGGCCTCATATAGTCAGCTCATCTCAGCACATCCTAAATCAGTTAGTTAAC